GCATTTTATACTATAACGTATCAAACAGAATCACATTAATACAGTTAACAAGTGAGGACAGAGAGCTCTTAAAGAAGATAGTTTTACAGGTCTGCTGACGAGCCAAGAAATCTTGGTTTGTTTGTAGGGTGACCAATACCTTATTTACCAAGGAAGTACCAATAATTCACTTAAAAATCCTACAATGTGATTTCGGATTGATTTCCCCCATTCCTGCCTTCATAGTTCGAAAGTGCTACCTAAAAGATAAAAAAGACAGGCTCTCTCATCTTTTTAAGTGGGAGAACTTGCACAATTGGTGGCTGACTAAATACTTTTTTTCCCCACTGTATATGTATATGCAATGTTATAGTAGATCCCATATAACAGTCTGTATTGGTGATGATTGTAAAGTCTGCTTCATTACAGCTCCAACAACGCAGACAGTCAGTGTGTTTCAGACCAGCTGATATGTTTCTGTATTGTCTCAGCTATTGCAGCCGAGGTGAAGGCCCCCCCCAGCGTAGAGTTTGTAGCGCAGGTGGTTCCGGATGTTGCCGCCATGTTTGTGCTCCCTCCAGCTGGTCCTCCTGAGGTGGTGCCACAGTATCACAGCCCGGCCCCCGCTGCAGACGCCCAGATGTTCCAGCCCATAGCCCAGCCCCCGCCTGTCAAACCCCCATCACCTCCACCCAAACCTCAGCCCGTCTACAGCAACGAGGTGAGCAGAATCTCTACGCTCTTCATCTGAGAACACATCAGAGCTCCCTCTAGAGGACGGCTTCATTCCTTAGTGGATTTCCTGCAATGTATTTGGAATTCACTTCTCCAGCCCATGAGCAATACACAGCAATACAGTTACAGTATGACACCATACAAGGTCTATTAAAGCTTTAAAAATTAATTTAAAAAAAGTCAAAGAGCTGCGGTAGGGCTAATTAAAGCTTTAAATCTAGGAGAGAAAAAAAATGAATATTTTCAGATATTTAAGAGGAAAAAAAACAAAAATTGTGCGTTTCCTTTAATCAAGAATGGTTCCTTGATTTATTCTTTGGATTTGGCAATAAGGAAATACTCGTGATTTAGGATTAGAATGATCACAAGTGGGAATCAATTAGTCAATTCATAGAAAGTGTATTGTCAAATACTTTGGTAATCAATGAATCATTTGAGTCCGGAGTTCTTTAAAGGAAATGCAAAAGCTTTCCTGGTTTGAGCTTCTCAAATGGGAAGCTGCTCTTCTTTGTTTCATATGATTGTAGAATGAATATGTTAGTGTGTTGATCAGGCACCAATAAACAAAAAATAACCAACTCAAACAAAAACTCGTCTCAATATTGCAGTTTTTTGCAATAAAAGAGACGATATATTGTGCAGCCGTAATCTGATTTTAGAAAATGAATATTTTATAAAAGTACTTGTTGGATGAGTGAAGTGAAATGCAGGCTGAGCTAAAAGGCCAGCGTGAATGAAAGAGTTCTAATTAGGGAAACAAAGAATCTGAAGATGGCATCCTGGAAGAAGATAAAGATGCATTGAGACAAAAACATGAGTTGTATTATTAAAATATAGACCAACAATAAACCAGAATATCAAAGGCCTCAGCCTCTATTCGTTGTAAATCCTTAGAGCAACAGTGACCTGGCTGCCCTAGTGTTAGTGTGTCCATGACAGTAACCCCTGCTGTGTCCCGTCCTGCAGGAGATCGTGGCTGAACTGGACAGCGTGGTGGAGGAGGTGGTTGGAGCAGCAGTGATGGAGGTGGCAGAGGCCGGAGCCAGCTACGCCACAACAGCTCTAATGTAGTGATTTTATACATCCAGCTTTTCTTTACCAGCTTATCTTGTGCTACATTTAAATACACTGCTGCTTTTCATTTCACTTCTTCACTTTAATCATTGATTTACTTTAGTGTTTAAAGGCAGTGTAGGTCTGAAGAATGTTCTAAGTTGTTTAACTGTCCTTTTGCCTGGGCCCTGCAGGGAGAGCGGTGTGCAGGTGGAGTCTCTGCTGGGCGAGGTGTTGGGACAGATGCTGCAGGAAGTCTCCTCCACAGAGATCAGGCTGGAGCAGCAGCGTGTCACCGAGGAGAAACGGAAGCTGGACGAAGCCAGGTCTGTCTGCTGAGGCTTCACTGCAGCCTGATAAAGACCTGCTACTTATATCATATTTAATTAAATGTATTTTCTTATCAAAGGTGCAAAGAAAAGCAGATTTCATAATCACTGTATCCTGCCAAATGCATGCCTTTATCATACACACAATCAAAGTTCATTTGAAAAGCTGGTAACACACGGTGGCAGTATTTATCAATTGCGATAACTATAAAGTAGGGCTGCTCAATTAATCGTATTTTAATCGCAATTACGATTTTGGCTTGCAACGATTATGAAAACAACATAACCTAAATAAAACAATTATTTATTTTATTTTTTATCTAAAAAAAACAAATGTAATTGGTTTTTCAGTTGAATTATAGTTAAAGTTCAGGGTAATCAACTGTTTAAAACATACTGTTAAAAAAAAAAATTCTCCAATAAATTGATGTTTTCAAAGTAAATGGATAATCGTTTTTAATAATCGTTATATCAATTATTGACCCAAATAATCAAGATTATGATTTTTGCCATAATCGAGCAGCCCTACTATAAAGTCAATCTGTAAATGTCATTTTATATGCAGTTACAATTGACGTGTGAAGATAAAGCTGTGAGACTCTGGAATTGTTTAGTTTGTTTGGAATGTTACTCTTCTAAAGCCGTATCCACTCTGTTAACAAAGCAGCTATATTTGCAACAGCTCACCCCATTTCCTTTGTGTGTGTGTGTCAGGAGGAAGCAGGAGCACGAGGCCTTCCTGGTCGACTTCAGCTTCTCTCTCTGCTCAGAGCTCATCTATGAAGTTCTAGATGAGACCATCAAGGAGACGGCCACCTCTGAGATCAAGTAAGCTTTCAAACTCGTATCCTTTTTATTTATTTAGGCAAAAACACAGAACAACATATTACAAAACACATACATACCACGTGAAGAACATACCAACGGCTCCCTTACAAAACTTTTTTTTTTTAAAACCCTCCCCAGGACCCCCGTGTCAAACACATGTCCTAATGGGGTCTGATGCAAAGTGACGTGCTTTACAGGATTACTTAAAACCATTATACAGTGATGCAAATTAGTCGCTTTTCGGCGCCTCCCGCTTTTTTAACGCTGATTTGGGTGACTTGTGTAATTTATGGAGAACCGAAGAGTTTTCGTTTTGGGGGTGGGGGGGTCCGTCAGTCTGACTGACGGACAACTTCTCACTTCAAAAAAGAAGAAGAAATCTAGACCGCAAAATAATTAAACAAGCGAGTGCCTGTTTTTCCTGGCCAAGGACAGGTTCCTTGAACACAACACGAGTGTAACGTGTCTTCACGTGGTATGTCTCGTCTGAAAGGAGTGTAGACTAGAGTGCTATCGGAGAGCACCTGAACGCTTTATAGTTATTAATTAGACATTAGAGACTAAATGAAAAACAGGTATAAAATACAGTAACAAAAAAGTTGTTAAAAATAACAAGAATAGAGTTTAAAAGGGGAGTGATTTGTATTTGTTACTGTATTTTATACCTGTTTTTCATTTAGTCTCTAATGTCTAATNCGAACATTTTTCGTCATAGTTTTCGTTGACGAAATTAACACTGCCGTGCACGGTTATGGCATGACCACCAACAAAGAAAGATATGGACACAAGATGTGTGCAAATTTATTTAGTTTCCTATCCATGTGGACATGATTTAAGTGGGGGGGTCCCTCTGAGTGTACCTCCTCTAGGGGGGTCCGGGGGCATGCTCCCCCAGGAAGATTTTTAAAAAGCATCAATCTGGTGCACTTTGAGAGCAACATGAAGAGATCTATGGATACATCTCAACACCCATATGAAACAGAACTGTAAACAGATTCTTCTTTTTGGATGTTTTACAAATCACTCCCCTTTTAAACTCTATTCCATACATTTTTATTCATGTATTTTTTTCTTTTAATGTTTCTTTTATTATCTTTTACTGTTTTTAAATGCCTTTGTCTGAATGTCTTTCATTTTTGTAAAGCACCTTGAATTGCCTTGTGTTGAAAGGTGCNAAATATCCAAAAAGAAGAATCTGTTTACAGTTCTGTTTCATATGGGTGTTGAGATGTATCCATAGATCTCCTAATGTTGCTCTCAAAGTGCACCAGATTGATGCTTTTAACTTCAATATTTAAAAAAAAATCTTCCCGGGGGAGCATGCCCCCGAACCCCCCTAGAGGAGGTTAGCTCCCCTACGAAACCAACGTGACAATAATGCCCATTCCCATTTTTTTTATAGAGATGGGTTTTCCTTATTTAAGATTGACCCTCTTTTTGTTTTGTTCTCAGAGAGGCGGTGAATGAAAAGGCTGACCGTGTGGCTAAATGCACGGAGCAGGTGTGCACCTCACTGGTTGAGGACACTCTGGATGCAGACATTGCTCGGTTGGTTGAAGCCATCCTTGAAGATGAGCTGCAATGCATCCACAAGTACATCAAGAGGTAAGAACCAGAAATATCATGTAACGTGACCAATAAGGCCAACGTCAATCTACCAGTATTCCATTCTAGCTGGGGCTGATGTAGCTTAAATACCATATACAGTGAGGCAAAAAATTATTTAGTCAGCCACCAATTGTCATTTTCATCCTAGGTATTGTAAACTGTGTTCGTTATTCTCCCGTCCAGGAGAGAAGCTTTAAAAGGAGACTAAATGGAGTCTCTGTGAAAGTTCAATTGGGTACTTTAATTTTAAAAAAGCGCGGGTTGGTCACAAGCATGATATTGTTCAGTCAGACAAACAGCTGTGATCCGCTCCTCGTTAGGAAAGAGAAGCGCAGGATCTCTCCTCCTGTGCTGTTATATATCCTCTGCTGGCTCCTCCCCGCCAGCCGGCTCGCCTCGTCTCCAATGTCCGTTGTTGCATTTAAAGAGAGGATTGGTTCTTTTCACATTCAATATATGCTTAACACGCCTTTTCTCCTCCATCACTTTTCATGCAACACATTCTAAACGCTGTAATCAATACTCTAAAAAATACTTCTCGGCTCGTTTGGTTTTCGGTCATTCCGGATGTTGTCACATGCTCTTCTCGTCTGTAAACAATAATGTATTCAAATAAACTGTACCTTCATTTAATATTCAGCATGGTAGTATCTCGACATCTATAGTTGTAGTGTTAAATCAGTAGGTTTCGGTTTGCACCACTCCATATCATTTCGCTACTAAATTCACCTCTTTAGGAAATCGTATATTAGCCACATGCTAACTGCTAACCGTAGATGAAGGATTTTCAATATACGATTTCCTAAAGAGGTGAATTTAGTAGCGAAATGATATGGAGTGGTGCAAACCGNACAATATTTGAGAGAAATTATTATTTTGTGTATGTAGAAAATGTTTTAGATCTTCGAGCTCATCATGAAAAATGGGAGCAAAAACAAAAGTGTTGTGTTTATATTTTTGTTCAGTGTATATCTAGTCTTTGGGCACTTGGAAATACTTTTCTTCTATGAATGTAATGATATTAAAGGAAAATACAGCAGCCCCATTCTGTAAGAAAATGGCTGAAAGGGTTTATGTGCACTATATGAACTAGTAAATGATAAAGTGAATGTGAAGGTTGTTTGCATGGCAGCATAGGGGCTAATATGTTTAGAAATGTTTCCAGATGCTGCAGAGGGAGAACTACATCCTCAGTGAGTACAACAGACTGACAGGGAGGAGCCTGGAGCCTCTGATGAAGAGGTGCAGTCAGGACAGGTGACAGCAGGCGGCTCTCTTCACTCTGGTGCTTCATTTTGTTTTCACTACCCTGCAACCATGGACTTGAACCGCCTGGCAGGCAGTACAGTGGCATGATGGTGGATGTCCTTTTCCAACACTGGATTTGAGTGTTATTAAAGTGTTTTCAACATCAAATGAAAAAGCCTCTGCACTTTCACCAGAATCTTTTATTAAAATCTGCTTTAGGAAGAGTCAGTTGTATATGAAGGGTAGAAAAAGCTGTTCATCTTTACTTCACAAATACATCATACCCTCTTCACACTGCATCTGGGACAAATGTAAATACAAGGCTGACGACAAAAAAATGGGAACATGTCACTTTTGCCTGCGGTGGTAAACGTCAATACTGTCCTAATAAATCCCACTAATATGGCAGGTATCAATATCTGGTTATAACCCATGTTTTATAAAGCTGTTAAATAGATTTTCTTCTGTTGGGAGGAACTCTGCAGACACCATGTTTTAACATTACACATTAGCCATGGTGAACTCAATGTGATTTGACTTTTTACAGTGGTCACAAAAACAGCTGTACAACCAGTGTCTAGTATTGGAATAACAAAATACTTCCTTTAAATCTTTCTCTAAACAAGCACGCCTCATAGGAGCTATATGAACAGCTCTGTAGACTGGCCTTAAAGATGATGCACTTAAACACATTAGGCTAAAGCTAGCTTCCCTGGTGGTCTAGTATTTATGACTTCTATTTGCTGTGGCGTATCTTCACAGGTTCATTCAAAGGGAATCAACCCGATGTTGCAATAAATAGAAAATCTGTTGGCTTTTTATAAAGGAGAAATCTGACTTACACATTGGTGACAGACATTTTCAAAAGCGACAAGGTTGTGCATCTTTCAAAGTAAAGCTAGTATACATATTTATAAAAGTTTTCTTGGGAGGCACAAAGTCAAAATCCCCAAAAGAGAAAAGTAGGCTTTAGTGAGAAAAGCTCAGTTAAAACAGACTGTTATTGAGCCTTTCCCCCGAAATCTATAACATTGAGACAAACACACATGAGTTGGTAAGTCACGCAAAGCAACAGTGAGAACTCACTGTTGCCCTGGGTCCACACTCTCGGACAGAAAGCGGATTGCAATTGGCCAGTTTGTGCCAGAACATAAATATTGCACCAAATGTACCCGCTAAATACAACACCCCCTCTAACTCTATAATAGCTTATACTCCAACATAGAATATATCTTTAATTAGTTTATATGGGAAATAAAGGGTCTGCAAAACATACAAGTCATGAAGCACCAGTAGCATCTGATGTGTGAAAGAACGGCATTGTCGAGAAACAAATAAAAAAACATTTACAAAACCTTTGTTTGACTCTGGCCCCAAAAACATGGAGGCAACATTTGATCCACTGAATATTTGTAACTGCATGTCTGGTGTGTTAAAAAAAATGTCTTTATCACCCGTGTTGGCATGTACAGGTGCTAATTTAACAGAGCATTCAGTGATCTGTAGAGGGAAAGGAGTGCCTGAAGACCGCCACAAAAGGACAGCAATCAGTCGTTTTCCAGGTTGTTCAGAGGAGAGCTCCATCTGTTAGGGTGCAGCGGTGGGTGGGTGAGTTGGTGTGTGTGTAGGGCTCAGAGGGGCTGCAGGACATTCCTCCCTGCTTCTGAAGGGTTGCTGGCTCCAGATCTCTCCATATCAGACAGCTGCTCAAACATGTCCCTGAAGACACGAGAGGAAGTTACAAATATCAAAAAAGTGAAAGTATATCATGTTGAAATGAGTATAAAAATATGAAATATATTTTCCAAAAACGTAAACAACAACTGGTATGTCAAAATGAAATGAGTCATAGTTAAGTTCAAACAAAAAGGTCTAAAGTATGTCTATAGAAGTTAATAAAATGTCATTAAATCAGTTTAGTATAAAACATAGAACCGTATAAACAAAATCCAGCAAAAAAAACTAATGGCACAGTATAGTATGCTAAAACATATGTACATACATGAAAAATCACATATTCTCCTGACCAACCACATTCTGCTATACAACGACAATGAATAACTACCTCATTCAACAGCCCCTTCGAAACATCTGAACATCCCTTTAAACAAAACAAAAAGCGTCTTAATCCGGATCAAAGACGGTGGTCATGATTGGTTTGTTTCACCCTGTCAAAGAGAGACCCTCACCCTACACAGTGGTTGTTTAACAGAGAGCCTTCTGGTTGTTCTAACTCACTTGTGCATGTAGAAGAAGATGTATCCACTGCGGTCGCGGTCCCTCTGGACAGCCGCTTCCTGTGTGCGTGACACGTCCAGGTCATTGAAGGTCAGCCACGACTGCTTCTTCATGTCGTACACGTCACTGATGTAATGGCCTAGGGAGGGAAATAAACCACTTAGTTTTGAACACTAGGAAAAGGTCTCAAACTAAAACTATTCCAGTTGTTCTCACTGGTATGCGAAATGTGCAGCAGCTTAAATTCAGTGTATGCTAGGGCTGCACCCGAATATTAATTTGAGTACTATTCGGGTTTCAATTTCGTTATTCGTTTTTTATTTATTGAAAACTACAATATCAACGTAAGAGCGTGTGCCTCTTCGGGGGGTGCTAACACTTAACCATAAACGTTATCGTTTACTTTCTCCGTCTTTATATGTAGATATTACTTTTTCTCCGTTAATCTCCGTCACATCGTTTCCATAGCAACAACAACTTCCTGTCAACAGTGCTAACGGCCCCTACACACGGCGGCGTGCGTTGTTGCTTGCCGGCGGGAAACTCGATCAACAACCAATCGCATGAATCTCCCGACCCAGACACACAAACATGCGGTTTGATTGGCTTGAGCTTGCACTGGCATATGATTCGACTGGCTGACGCCTCCGTAGAGGCGTCAAAAGTAAAATATTGCTCTACTTCTGCAGCGAGCAACGCGAGAGAAGCTACGCTTTGCTCCCACAATGCAATTCGGCGAATCGTGACGTCACCCCATTCAAAGTGAATGGGCAGAAGCGTTGAAGCGGCAACGCACGCCACCGTGTGTAGGGGCCGTAACTCTCCTCCAAAATAAAAGCATGTCCATACAAAATAAGAAGCCAAGCCAAATTACACTTAAGACGTATACAACTGCAACGAAAGTAACAAATATAATGCAATATCGTTTTCAATTTCAAAGAACACAAATTGGGTTACATTAACAAATAACTACAAAACAACAATACTGTAGAATAACAAAATGAATGCAGTGAATAAACCGAAATACACGTGTAGAAGCGGCACGCTGCTGATTACTACGCCCCCCCCCCCCCCCCGAATATTCGCTGCTGATTACTACCGAATATCCGGAGCCCGAAAAATGGTATTGGGACAGCCCTAGTGTATGCACCAGTATGAATCTTTATCACATATCTGCTCAGGCAATGAGACATAACATGCAAACCACTCTTTTACACTATTTACCACTCATTCAAAGAGGTTAAGAGTGTCTTCTACACAAACGTGGCACTGTGCTGCTCAGGTATGATGTGCTGACAGGAGTTCTGACATCCTGAAGGGTTCCGATTTGCTCTTTTTGCTAAATGGCATCATTCAATTAACTACAGTAGGGTAAGTATGCATTAACACAGCTACATGGTGGATAGCAGCACACATGCACAGTGCTCACCGGAGGAGGAGCTGCTCCCGATGTGACTCACGACACTGATTAGTCGGAAAGAGTTGGCCAAGTCTCCGCTCTGTGGAATGAAACGTATCCAAGGTTACTCTGAACTAAGGCAGTTCAGTGTATCTATTATAAACGACATATCCTTTTTTTGTGAAGGAAGGTTTTATACAATATATTTAAAGTATTTGGAAGTTGATTTTCAGTTTATTGCAGAAATGAATACGAGAAATTGATCTGGACTGTTCTACTTGTTTAAAATCACAGAGCAGATGTTGAGTACCTCAGCATTCCTCTTCAGGTTCTCAGTCTCAGCTTCAGTGTACTCCATGTCCAACACGTCCTCGTTGCCTGAATCCTCGTCTGAGCACAGTAACTCTGGCAGAGAGTTGTTGAACTCTGGCGTTGGGGAAGGAGAAGATGTTGATACTGGTCAGGCATTTCCACACCGCTGAGTCAGATTCAACAGCGTTATTAGGTGCTCTGAGACCTTCACAGAAAACATATGATACTGTGTCCGTTTGCTTTGCACAAATACGTGTAAAGCAGGGGTATTTTTGCTTGAGTGAAAAATGAAACTGAAATTGGGAAAAAGTCAGTCAAAGATGTCTTCCCCTCTTGCCTACCACTTCACCACCCAACAGATTCTGCTTCCTCAACATTACCTGGCACTGACAAAGGTTGCATGCCTCCACCAACCAGTCAATACTTGATATTATTATCATAAACAGCATTTTGATTCATGGGTTATGGCCAAAAACCGGTTTTGTGCCGTCCCAGCGAACTTAACCACCAAATTCAAATCAGTTCATCCTTGATTCCAAGTGGACTTCTGACATCAAATTGAAGATATTAGCTACAAGCAGTCTTGAGGTATCATGTACAAAAGAATGGGGGGATGGACATCGCAAAAACATGATGAATGGTATTCCTTCCATCAAAGACGCTGAACTCAAAACGATGCATTTCAGTGATGTCACCGTCTAGCTACTCAACATGAGATCAATGATACCTTGCAGGCTGAGCTCGGTGGCCCTCTTCAGATCATCGTCCTCTCTCAACTCCTGGGCCTCCTGTGTGGGGGGAAAATGGAGACAATGAAATTCAGTGAACAAAGTGTACAAATAGAACTTTTTGTGTTCTGGTGTTTATTGTCTGCTTGCTCAAAAAGAACACAGATTTTCACTCTATTAGACAACGGTTATTATATATATATATATATATANACACGCTGCGGCCAGGCAGGAAACATGTGACTTATCAGTAACTTTAGACATCGTAAAACAATTTTAAACGAGATTTTATTGTCGATTATACATTTGACTGATACCAACTATATAATATTTACCTTGTTCATTAAAAATAAAAAATAAAAAAATATTTTTTTGTATTATTATTTTAAAAAAAAAAAAATTATTTTTAATGACAATCAAACATGTGGGAAGAGGGGGGGGGGGCGCCCCTATGGGCCGGCCGCCACTGCCGTTGACGAAACAGACATTGCTGGGTTGGCCTGAGTCAACCAGGTACTGTAGATCACACTGAAATAACTGAAAAGTTGACTTTAATATTAAGTTGAAGCTAATATTTTTGATTTAAACTTAATATTATTGCTTTCAACTAACCTAATACAGTTATGTGAAATTTGTTGACATAATACATTTAATTAAAGTCAACGTTTCAGTTTTTTCAGTGCAGCCAGGAGCAGGCTGGGTAGTGGAACAGCCTTGAATCTTAACTAGTCCCAGAATGATCCTTGAGTTTTAGTAAACTGTAGCACACACTGCACTGATGCACACCTTCTGCATTGACGGTGTGTGTTTGCTCCGCAGGCTCCCTCCCGGGCCAGTGTGACTTTGAGAGTGGAGTCTGTGGCTACATACAGGATAAGAAAGGAGACAAAGCCGACTGGCTGCGAGTGCGAGGACACACCCCCACCTCTTATACAGGACCCAGAGGAGACCACACCACTGGGGTGGGTGAGTCATTTCCTCTTCCATTGCTTTGTTCATTCATTCAGAGGTCATGTGTGATGTGAAAGGATTCATGTATCATTCCACTCCTAAAGATGTTCATCTCAGGTGAGACGTCGACATCATGTATTCACATTATTTCTACAGTTTTAGCTTTTGGATGATAATACCAGTTTTTTCTAATTTACACAGTATTCTTTGTGTATTGTATTTTTACGGCTGAAATAACACGTCCCCACTGAGAACATAAATGTTTCATTATGCCTCACCCAGGTTACTTCATGTACATCGAGGCGTCACTGATGCGTCCGGGTCACAAAGCTCGACTGCTGACCTCTGACCTGCGGGGGTCCTCGTCCCCTCAGTGTTTGATCCTCTTCTACCACATGCACGGGTCTGGCTCCGGCATACTGAGCATGCTCCTGCGCCGCAGCGACAGAGAGCAGGACGCGTTGCTGTGGAGACGCCGGGGGGAGCAGAGCGTCAGCTGGATGAGGGCGATGGTGGACTACCAGTGTGACGTCCGACACCAGGTACGTCCCACTGGCTAATGCCAAGGAGAGGGAGAAAACGCCAAAAATAAATAATACAGAACAGAGTAGAGCTCCCTCGTCTCTCAGCTCACTAAATGAATCTAACTAATGCAGGCTGCATGGCACAACAAGTACATTACATTACTTTAAGTTGATACTTTTATCCAAAGCAACATACAATAAAGCAATAAAACCATGAGAAAATTAACTCTGAACAGCAAGAAACATGCAGGTCTGTTCCAACCTGTTTTAAGTACTGGTGCATTAAACATTTTTATTTTGTATAGTCAAATTAGAAACGACAGAAAGGGTGTGTCTGGTATTAGGACTGCATATACTGCAAATAATATAACTGTTCCAGAAAATGAGAAGAGAAAGAAAACAAATGTCATCAAGTGCATACAGATCACAAAACAATTAAATGTAACCATCAACAGTTTTAAAGAACATCCAAAAAAAATCATGTTTTTTATTGTATCATTTGGTTAAAGGTCCCATGTCATGCTTTTCCGGTTATTACCCGTCCCCTTGCGTGTTATGAAGGTTTTAATGCATGTAAACTGTCTGCAGAGTCAAAACCCTCAAAGTACACC